AATCAATAAAAAAAGCCATAAAAAAAAACTTATTAAAACAATCATAAGCTATTACAGTACCTATAATCCAAAACAGATTCTATTTATTAATATTGTTCATTTATCACACTTCCCTCCACTATTAATCAAGTAGTCTACTAGAGACATGAATAGTTATAGATTATAGATAATTACTAGAGTGATGACATGTATTATGCCACATGCCAGGTCAAATTATCCCTAAAATAAAAAGAAATTTCTTAAATGATGATAATTTTAATTCAAGTTAACTTGATCAAATTCAAAAAATAAGATTAGTATAACACTGCAAAAAGGAAAGCAAAGAAGAATAACAAAAGCACAAGGCCCAATAACCAAATATTAAATGATAAAAGTTTAAAAAAATCAATTTAAAAAAAAATATATCAAAGAAAAAAACTCAAGTCAACTCGAGTTAACTTTATTAACTTATCGAATATGATATAAGATTAGGACTAAAAAAATATTTTTTTAAAAAATAGAATCTTGAGAAAAAAAAAACGAAGTTAAATCAATAAAAAAATGAAAAACAAACTTGAGCCAACCTATGTTACCTTAACTAATCCACACTCAGAATAACCTTGCATAGAGAAAAGTGGAAAAATTCACAAAGTATAAGAGCCAATAATTTAATGTGAAAGGATAAAATTGAAAGAAAAAAACGAGTCAATCGAGTTAGGTTAACTAACCAATAACCTGATATACAACCCCATAAAAAAAAAAAGCATAACAAATCACGAAGATTACCCTATAGAAAGCAAATAGAAAATAATAATGAAATGAAATTCCTAATCATAAAAATATCAAAAATCAAAATAGTAAGGACTAAATCTTGTACAAAAAATAATTGAAAGAAAATAATTAGGGATCAAATTGAAAAACAAAATAAATAAAGAAAAGAATAAAAAAGAGCAATTAAAAAATCAGGACCAAAATCATAAACAAAATATTAAAAAACAAAATCAAGCAAAGGATGAAAAAAATAGCAATCAAAAGAATGAGAATAAAATAAAATAATAAAATAAAATAAAATTTTGAGGGATAAAATAGAAAAAAATATCTTAAAAAATATTAAAATTTAAACAAATATAAATAAAAATAATGATAACCAATTTTAACTTAAATATAAGTATACAACTAAAGTTTTTAAAGCTCAACATGAATACCAAAATTAAAGAGAGAGAAAAGGGACAGGGGAAAAACACTCCATTGCCATTAAACCACAATAAATATGGCAACACGTGACACATCTTTAACTTTGCCACTATAATATGCATCATCGGATGACATAGTGATTTGTAGTTTTTAGCCATAAAAAAACTCCACACACCTTCACAATGGCATGGGGATTGATAATGCTTTTATATGTGTGTTTTTTTATTGATTTATTAATATTTTAATAATTTAAATCACTAAACAGATTCTAAAAGTATTTGAATATATATATATATATATAAAAGATAATATTGAAAAGACAAAAATATCCTCTTAAGCTAGCCTTAGATTTTTTTATTCTAAGGTTAAATTTATCATTTCATTGTAAAAAAATTTAAAAGACTAGAATACCATTCTTAAGATTCTAAAAGTATTTGAATATATATATAAAAAAAGATAATATTGAAAAGACAAAAATATTCTCTTAAACTAGCCTTAGATTTTTTTTATTCTAAGGTTAAATTTGTCATTTCATTATAAAAAAATTTAAAAGACTAGAATACCCTTCTTGTCAAGGTTAATATTCTTGAAATCTTAAAGATATTGGTGTTATTTTACTTTGCAAATAATATGGAAAAAACAAAAAAGCTCGTGAACAAAAGGATAAAAAAATTTGCTTGCAAGGGCAATAATATAATTTATTGTGCCAAAAAAGATAAACTGTCTAATTTGTTTCTAATCAATGTATAAATGATCTATAAATCTATTGAAAAAGATAATTGTAGCTTGATAAGTTAGGCAATTATTTTGTGTAGATAATAATAAAAAAAAACAATTTACCATACTAACTCACAGTAAATCATTTTACTTGTCACAATACATTTATAATCTCTTTTGCTGTTTTTTTATATATATATATAACATGATGATAACCTTCCAACTCGATAGGAGAATTTATGTTTTTATTTATTATTCTAATACTATTTATTTAATTTATTTTTTTAATTGAACATTAATTAAAGAAATAATTATAAAATAAAATAATATGCACAAAAAAGAGTAATAACCCCTAATAAAAACTTGTATAAATCAGTTTGTTCATTCGGGTTTGCTTGTATCATAGCTCCATAAATTAATTCAAGTTATGTTTATTATTGGATAAATTGCATTATTGATATTGACCCAAAAAAAGAAACATTAAATACTTTGGATAGATTCAATCTACAATCACTCAGCCCTCGCACTAAAGTCATCAAGTTGTTTTGAAGGATCAGAACAACTAGTTATTAAAGGAATTCTCTGTCTCTCTGTTAAATATTCATTTGGATTAGTGCTCCCAGACACATCATATGATGATGATCCGTAAAGGTGCTAGTTTCAGCTGATGGGAGCAATGATCTCATGAAATTGAAGAACGTCATAGATTATTTTGTCAATATATTTACACAACAATATTTAAAACAAATAAATTTGTTTCATAAATTGTTGATATTAGATAAAAAAAAAAACATGATTATAATTAATTAATTAACAACAAAAAGAATAAAGGCATGTTAGGAAAAAAAGTGACCTATTATTTATTTTCTGTTTTAAAACATACAATGGGCTAAATCCTTTTTAGCTTAAAGAACCCATATCGAATCCCTTTGATTTTATATATGTTTATTATTTAATCCTCCCATTATCCCATCAAGTTATATGTCATAATTTAATTCCTTTCTTGTTAAAAATTATTATTTTCTAGTCAAAATTTCTAAATTTTCCTACTACAAATAAAAGCAAAAAGACATTTTAAAGAGAGTTTCTTAAAATTAGAGTGCTAATATCTCGCCCCAAATTATAACCAAAATAATATAAGTCTGGGCCTTCCTTCTTACGAGGCCTCCTTCCTGGCCTATATGTGGCTAGAGAGAAACCTAGCCCAATTTAAAATAGGTTGCTGCCACCCTCCAAGAGAAAAGGCTTCGAAACCCAGGTGAGGATATTTCAAAACACAAGTACATTACTTCTCGAAACCTATGGCTGGATCAAAGTTCATCGACAGTGAATTTTTGCAGGACTCCTCAAATTATGGGTAAATTAAAACTATAGGTTTCTTCACTTAGACTGCTCGAATTATTAAACTTCCTGAATTTTACCTTTCAGTTTGTTTAATATTAATCTATACAATTTGCCATATATTATCATCGTAAATATGCAATGTTTATACATACAAAATGAAATAATTAAAATGATATCAGTTTTTATAGTTAATCCGAATAAAATTATTTGAGACGGCGATAAAAAAATTATTTTTTCAGTTTATTCAAAATTATTTATTTCAAGTTGATTTGGTTAACAGGTTAAATTCTCTTTAGAAATTTAACCAAAATCATAAATAATTATTTTCTGAACAGTGTTGTATTGAATTGGCCCAAACCATGATTGAACCTTGGATTTATTCAAGTTTTATCGATTTTTAAGAGTTCAAACTGAAACAAACTAAACCATCATATATTAAGAAGATTTCAAACCCAGTCAACCCTAAATACTTGAGAAATTGTGCTTTGGATTCGTTTGGGAGGATTATCCAATTTTTACATTTGGTTTGCCCCCTTGAGTATAGGTTAAATTGTGCCTTGGATTGAGAGCTGGGATATGTAGATTTATGTTCGTGAGGGGGAAAAATAACTTCTAAGCAAATTGGCTTGCTGATAGATTTTTGAAATCAGCAGGCACCTTGATTTAGTAAGATAATCCAAGTGTCTCTACCTTCCTCTGTCATTTTCAAGATTTCACCACAAAATTCTAGACTACAGGCGATGCCACTGCAGTACAGCATAACAGCCCAAATGTCCTGCAGGCAATAATCCACATACAAGCAGTGATCGTGGCCAAACAAGCACTGATAATATACCCTCCATTAGCATCAACTTGATAAGCTATCCCTTATATAAGATCAGTGAAGAGTGATGATGATCTCTGCTCCTCCTCGCAGTATCTAAACATTTGGTTTCATTTCCATGACAGACTGCTCTTGCTTTGGAATTTTACTGTAATATGGGTTTTGGCCTTTCGTAAGTGTCGAATCGGCAACTAGCCGGAAAATGTTATACTAGTACTTGGCATCCATAAAGTCACGCTTCCTTTTCAGTGAGAAGGCAGTTGCTTCTTTAATTTGCTCCTTTTCTTGGATCAGCCAGCAGATAGACCATATTATTAAAGCACCAATTTAGAAGGGAAATTCGGAGGAAAGGGAACACAGCACACTGCTAAAACATAATGCAGCTGCTAAGCAAAGAACAAACCAAGGCCCAAATTAATAAAAAGTTTGAAACCTCAAACAAATGACAAATCCCTAGAAAGAGATACTCGTGCATAAGAATCAAGGATCTGTCAACTTGATAAACCTGAACTTGGCACCCTGCTCTTGAGTCCAATTAGAGCCCAATACCAACGAAGAGACTCATGAAACTTCCAAATCCAAACCATGGAAGAAGATATATTCTTTCTATTTTGTATTTTTTTTTGGTTTATACTAAGATTAGTATATGTATACACTTATAATGTATCATAAACACATTGAATCTAAAAAAAAAAAATCACGGCCAAAAAGTTGAATATTCTCTATTAAATTCTCTTTTTTATTTTGTCTTTTCTTTTTCCTTTTGTTATCTTAATCTTAAAAGATATCATAACCTTACTTAACAACACCAATAACTTCCATATAAAATCTCTCTTTATACACCAAATACTTTTAACAATTAAGAACATCAACCCACCTATTCTTCTCTAACTATCCTATAAATTACAACAACATCCCCTTTGTTGGTACTTTAAAATGCTCATCATTATATTTCTCTAAAACTAAAAAATAAATACTTATTTTAAAAAAGGCTTGTATATTTCATTGATGGATCAAAACCATGCCCACTAGCCCTCCTTACAATAAAGAATGCATCCACTACTATACTAAACCCATATTACATGTATTAGGTTAAATAAAATCAATTGATAATGAATACTTTAATTGCATCTTTGTCTATTGATGTATTATATCATGTGATTGATTGTTAGACCTCTCTCTTTATATGTATAATCTTAGAATTAGCCTTAGTTTCACCATTGATAATTTAAATTATATCTTTTTACTCACGACAATTCCTTAAAAAATCAATTTTGGCTTATCTACACAATAGATCTTTACTCAAGTCTTCTTGAATTACGACAATTCCTTAAAGAATCAATTTTGGCTTATCTACACAATAGAAAAGTGTACAATGATGAATTGATAGCAATTTATAAGCCACTTCTTCTCACAAACTCTAATCTGTTCAAAGGTCAACAATTAGAATTTGAGGACACGGGAATCATCTTAATACATGTATCTGTCCAAAGGTCAACAATTGAATTTGAGGACACGGGAATCATCTTAATGGCTTGATCCAAACCTATTTAACTCTTAAACTATGAATTCTTATACAAAGATAACTTTTTTTATGATCTTTATGGGATCCATGTATGTTGATGATGTCATTATCGCTTTGAACAATATTACTAGATAGTCCACTGTTATTGGCAAATGTAACAACTTTAACTTTAGTTTCTTTTATGGTCAAAATGGTCTTTTTAATAAGGGTAAAGATAAAAATCAAAAGGTAAGTAAAATAATAAAAAAAACCTTGAGCCAATGTAGTGAATTATGTTGAAATCAACCACAATAAGACACTCGAATCTAGCATTATACTATATATCAAATTCTTTCCACTTTTTATGTTTTGGTTTTCTCATTAGAGGAAACTTTTTGACCTTTTCGACTTTAGATCCTCCATCTTCGGTCAACAATATTTTATATATACATTTCTTTTTGAATCATAAACATTCATAACGTCCTGAAATCAAGGTAATATATCATATAATGCTAGACATTATTAGACCTATTCATATGAAACCCTACACTAACTTCAAACAACTTAAAATAGGTGACGGTAATAAATTTAATATCATGCACCTTGGTTATACTTTAATTCATACACTTTAATGTCTTATAAAACTATCTTCTATTTTACATGTTCCTAATAACATAAAATTCCTACTTATGTTCATCAATTTGCTTTTGATAATGATGTTTTCTTTAAATCTCATATCCACTTCTATCTTGTCAATGATCAAATTTTTAGAGTTATCCTCCTATCGATTATACCAACTTAGGTGCCAACTCTCTATCTCTAGTCCTCAAGTGTTCTTTATCATAAGAACTACCCTTGAAATATGATATCAATATCTTAGTCATCCACACTCTTAAATCCTATATTAAATTCTCCTTAATAAGGCTCTTTTGGTTTCTTTCTCTTCAACAAGTTTAGTCAATGTAATTTAGGTTCGTCAAAGCATGTTAGTTCAACTCCATTAAACTTAGTTTTTAATGATGTTTGGGGTCTCTTATTTACTTGTTTGGTGAATGGATACAAGTACTTCTTTATAATTATTTTTTAAATATATTTTGTTTTTTACACAACTTAATTAATATGTGATTTATAACGTTTTTATTTAATTTTAAAAGTTAGTTGAAAATTAGTTTAGAATTTGTATATAACAATTTTAGAGTGACTACAAAAGCGTATTTATAAAACTAAATTCCTTGTACACATTTACTATAATAGGTTTGTAGAACACTATTGGTATATTGTTAAAACCAGTCTTATTTTACTCAAATATGCTTCTCTTATAAATCTTTTGGCATTATACCTTCAAAACTATTATTTCTCTCATCAACCAAATGCCTACATCAATTCTTCAAAACCAATCTCTTTTTTAAAAAACTTTTAAATTGACAACCTAACTACGTATTTTTAAAGGTTTTTGGTTGCCATGCTTCCTATTTTACATCCATATCACAAACATAAACTTGATTTTTTTTAACCTCATTTATCTTTTTTTATTACAGACTAAATCATATGGGATATTGTTGTATGGATCCCTACTCATCATGTTTATGTCATTTATTATTTTACATTTTATGAGTATTCATTTCCTTATATAAAGTCTATTTTATTATTTTCCCCTCCATTATCACAACCCTTGCCTAATTGTCAATATACCGTTTATTCTTTATTGATTAACATTCTTGTTTGTACCCTATTACCTTGTCTTTCTATGTTATCATTTACCTCATCTCTTAGTTATAAAGATCATAATAGTGTTCCATATCAAGTTTCTTTTTCATCCTTTCCATATGGTTCCTATTCCAGCTTCAAAGTATTCTTGTATCATCTCTCATCATGCATCCATAAAAAAATGTTTCTCATTATCTTTTATTTTAACATTGTCATAGAAAACAATTCTCTCAGTTGATCCTTTGTTTAAAAAAATTTATCAATTTACATTCTCACCCATACTTACCTTATAACCCTTCATTCATGTTAACTCAATCACTGTTATATCCTATGTTTTTCCTCTGCTAAATTTGTTTTACCTTCTTCATCAGAACCTATTTGTTAAATTTAGTTTTTGATTTTTTTTCTCCTTCTATAAATGTTAATGGCTACAAGTGAATGTATAAGATTAAATAAAAACTTGATATGTCTATTATATGTTATAAATCTTGTTTAATAGCCAAGAGGTATGATCAATAAAAATATACTAACTCTAACAAGACTTTCAATTTAGCTATCAACTTGGCTAGAGTTCAAACAATTTTGGATGTTATTTCATAGGGTAGGTCTATTCAAAAATTAGATGTTTATAATGCACATCTTAAAACTAATTTTTACATACAATAACATTTGGATTTTATTAATTCTTACTTTTTTTTATGTATACAAACTTTATAAGGCTCTTTATATATTTAAATAGGTATCATATGCTTAATTTGATTGACATCTCCAATTCTTGTTACGTCTTGACTTTTGTGAGTTTAAATTGAAACTTTTCCTTTTATTTATGAGACTAAGAAATTATTATCTATACTATGGTTTATGTTGATGATATCCTTATCATAAGTAATTATCCATCTTATATGACTTATTTGATTACTCATCTTGGTATATAATTCTTTATTCTAAGCTTGAGCTTCTAAGTTACTTTTTTTTATATTGAGATACAATATACTTCTCAAAAGCTATTATTTTCTCAATCTTGTTATAACTCTGACATCATGCACATAGTTGACATGTTCTAATGTAGTTTCCACAACTATATTTATTGATTCTCATCTTTCCACCACCTCTGATAGTGGTTTCATTTATTCTAAACCTACTTTATAACATTAAGTGATTTTAGCTCCTCGGTACCTTATTTTTACATGGCTAGATATTTCTCTTCTTGTTATTAAGGTTTATGAGCTCACGTATGCTATTTATGAGGACCAGTAGTTTATGGTTAAAACGTATCTTATGTTATGCTCATGATATATCTTATTCTTTTAGTACCTTTTCTAATCTCCTACTATATGGTTTTAATGAGTTTTATTAGGTTGATAATGTTAATGATAACAAATCTATGAGTACTTATGCTATTTATAATGGTCATGGCCTTACCTTTTAGGAGTCTAGTAAGCAAAAACAATTACTCAATCTTCTTTATAGTTTAATACGACTATTACTAATATTGCTATTGAGTTTTTACGACTCTTCTCCTTGTTGTTTGAAATTTTTTTATCCATCATCTCTTCTTCATTTATCTTATTATATAATAATTGAAAAGCAACTTATCATATATTGTCACTCTGGTTAATATGTATATTTACAAATAAAAATGACAAAATGAACATGATAATTGTTTTTCTGAATTATATGTTTTCACTTTGAAAATAACCATGTTGATAGGATAACAATTTACCGTATGGAAGAAAAAGAAAAGAGAATCAAGAGCAAATTGAAAAAAACCATCTTTCAACTTACTGATTTATATTTATGTCTAACAAAAGAAAACCATAATTCATCAAAATAGCATGTAATACATACATATACATATACATATATATATATATATATATATATATATGAAAACACCATACACATTTGCAATGCACATTTATATACAAAAGTGCATCATATCAAAAAATTAAACACAAAGAAAATCAATTTTTTACAGACAAATATCATCCATATATAAGATTATTGACGTGTATACACATAAAATAAAATATGAAAAATCATATAAAATACCAAATCCAATATTCAATAACATGTTAAAATTATTCGAAAATTAATTTAGTGTTCAAAATGAGCTTTAGGAGAAAAAACCACTAAAATATTAAGGTAGCACTAGCGCGTGGATCTATGTGCCACTATTATTGCTGGTGTGTGAACCCACACATCACCATTGATGGGTCATGCCACCTAGTAGATTTAAAGCAACACCGTTACCTTATCCTTTCTATGATGGCAGTATCGATCATCGTTACTTGATGAAAGAGATCCAACCAAAAAAAGTTTTAACTTCCTATTTTTTTTTCTTTTTTTTTTACTTAGTTTGTTTCTTCTTATTCTCTCTCTCTTTTTCTCTCTCTCATACCTTCTTCTTTAACAGGTGGTTGGATGGTTTGTTATGGAGAAGTTGTGCCTATGTCACTAGTATTATGAACTATTAAGTAATAAAGATGTGCTGCTACTATTGGCATTAAAAAAAGTTAAAGCTTTAATGAGTTAATGTTAATTTTATTGTTGTTGTTAATGATGTGAGGCTATCTTGATATGGTGATGGGTGGTCGATGTCATGGGTAGTGATACTTAGAAGTTCTAGAGCAGGGGCTAGTGTTCTTTACGTGAAACAGGGGAAGAAGATGAAAGGTTTTTATTTTTTTCTCTTTCTTTCTTAACACACTTTCTTCTCTATTTCACTATTTTTTTTTTCAAATATTTTTGGCTCTTTTTCAATGGTGGCTAGGGTTTTTTTTCCCTGCATACCTCCTTTCTCTTCTCTTTATTTTTTTATCCTATAATGAGTAGATTTTTTTACACATTCCTTTTTCTCTAAAAATATCACCTTTATTTATAATGTTTGTTTTCTCCCAATTACTTAGGGAGAAAGGAACTAAATTTTGTTTTGGTCCTTTTTTTTATTGTTTTGCGTTTCACTTTCTAATTTTTTTTAATTTAATTTTTCTCATTTTTTTATGTTTTGACTTTTTTCATGAAAAGATATCAACAAAAGAAAAATTATCAAAAAAATACAAAATAGGCACATGAATTGTTGAAATGAGGTGAAAATAATTTTTTTATTTTTAAAGAATATTTTAAAAAAGAGAAACAAATTTTGGGTTATGAGAAGAAATGTTACGCTTTAATTCTAACTAGATATCCTAATCAAGGGTAACAAATGTGTATATATTAGGTATAACATAAACTATATATATGAAGGTATTTAAGTGATCAAAAAAAGATTCATCATCTTTGATGAATTACAGAAAATCCTACTCATGTTCACAAATAATATTGATTGTAAAATTCTTTAGCAAAATTGAATGAAATTTTAAAAAAATTCAAATCTTATTCAAAGAATCAATTATTATGGTATTAAGAATAAATATATGCACATAGAGGATTACAATTCTAGAATTAGAAAAATAAAGTAAAGACTTGATTGAATAAAATTCTAGAATTGTCTTAAAATAATACATGTGTAATTTTTAGTAGGCAAAGTAATATTTTTCCATTTGTATGGTTTTCAATTTTTTTTTTTATAAATAGAATGTTATACTTCATATTCTTTGATGTAAGACTTGATGTGATCAGATAAAATTTTTTTTATAAATAGAATATTATACTTCATATTTTTTGATGTAAGACTTGATGTGATCAGATAAAGAAGTATGTTATAGAACATATGATATAGTAAAAACTCCTTAAAAATATATATTTTAAAAAAAGAGCTAGCATTTAAAAATATTACAACATTTCTCTTCTAAAGAGGTTTTAAAAGATTTCTTACTAGTGGCTTGTATAAATTATTATTAGAGGCTAGAAACTTAAACAATTCGTGGTTTATAACAACCTAACCTTGAAAAAATTGATCAAATCTAAAAGGAAAATCTAATATTTAGGTAATATTTGTTTAAACTCTAAACAACCCTAGATTATGTAATGAGATCTTTGGAATTCCTAAAAAAATAATTTAAAAGATCTTTTATTTTTTAGCCAACCACCTCCCACTAATTAACCTATGGTTAGTCATACTAACAAAGTTATCATTAAGACCCATATTATTCATTTATTATATATTTTGCATGTTTGATCATGGTTTCAAGCACATCTTATTGTAAAAGAACCTCATGGATTTAAGTCGAACATCCCAAGTAACTTTTAATTATGGATAATGAAATTATTGGTCTCCAACATAATAATAACACATGGTGTTTAGTTCCTCGCCCACGTGATCATAATGATATGGGTTACTAGTGGATCTTCACATAATAAAAATATTCTTACAAAATAAAATAAATAATAGAAGAATTCAATCAAAAAGAAAAGAAAAACCCTCCAATCAAACAATTTCGAAGAATACAACAACCAACTAGTGGGTAAAACACAAATTATCAACATATAACCCCATGAATGAGTCTTAATTATAATTAGTTTTGCTGAAATTTTTTCCAGGTATACTTGCAGTCGAACTGAACGTGCTTGGATCTATTGTTTAATTCCTCTTTAGTCTTGAAGAGTGAATACTACTGTGACATGTTCACACGTGAATAATTAGTTGTTTTAATTGTTCAAACATACTATCTCAAGACAAGGAAAAAGAAACCACAACCCAGTTCACGTGAGACTCAGGTCTTTCATCCTCGACAAGCACGTATATACCCGCATGCATAGCAGAACAAGTTAGCAGCATTGAATCCAAAGCCTTGAACAAAGAAATTTCCTGTATCGAGTGATTTTTTGTGAGGGATGGATGACTTGTGGGCCTTCAATTGAGCATTATATTTCAAGTAATAACTAAAAGTACTGATCATGATTAATGTAGATCACATGCATTCCAAAAGTTTGGATTTATATATGAACGTGATCTTAATATGTTGTAAGTTTCTTAAGCAATCTGTATATATATATCCAGCAATATTAATGTCTTACATGATGGAATCTAGCCATAAAGCTGGTAGACAGACGTACGTAGCTTCATGGAACCTGCTCAATAGATGAGTTAACCAATAACTTTTTGCCAGAAAACAAACGGTTGATTGAATGTTTATGCCCACATTACAACAGAAGAGTTTTATTTACAAAAAGGGACTGGTTGAAAGCTAAATATAATTTGTTGTAGCAATAGTGGCATTAACTATTCAACTAATTAATAAATTAAGTTCACTGTTGATTGGTTGATTCTTGATATCTTTCTGCCAATGGCCATTGCTAAAGCCGGATATGCAGAATCATTTTAGGGCTGTGTTAGATTACTGGTTATTCTGGTATAAAAACCTTGCTTATACTTTAACTAATTGAGGCTCATGAGAATGTAGCTTAATTAACATTAACATCTCCCTTTTTCAGAGAAAGGTTTCCCGTTCATATATATGTAAACCAGTTAATATCCATGAAAGATTGCTACCAATCGCTCCTTCATATTTATCTCTCTTTTCTTCTAAATTAAGCAGATAGTGACATTCCACCATCGCTAGAATTTGAGCCATATCTAGGGTGCTTCGAGGAAACACATACGTACTGAGAATACATCCAAAATGATACGGATACATGGCACAACAAAATGCGTCTCACTCGTAAAACTGGGGTCTACGAGCTTAATATGTTGCCTTAATGTGTGTATATCTAATCAACTATACATATGAATCAAAAAGATGGATGTGGTATCCATGCAGAGGAGCTAATAGGGCCCGATGATATTACTTAAACGTCAAATAATTAAGAAAAATCAACAATGCAAAATACCAGTCCTTGTACAGATAACGTGGGGTCGTCCTGGTATTACCACTGGTTCTGAACTTATCACTGTTATTGCTTGATGAGTATGAACTGTATTTTAAAGCTATATCCAGTCTTTGTCAGGCCAGGCTGTCTATATTTGATGTATTCTCTATTTATCTAATACATGAAATAAACGTTGTGTTTAATTTGTAAAGATTAAGTTTTCTTGAGATCAGAGTTGAGAGATCTCCCAACTTTATTAATGTTGACTGTAGTGAATTATTTTTTGCTTTTCTTTTCGTTTCTTTTTCTCTTTTTTGCATGTGGATGCAGATATAGTCTATTCCTGTATATATAATTTAATAGTTCCAAATATAGATGGTGAATTTGCTCATCTCTTTTCTGCATGTTTGATATCTACATATGGATAACATGATGGAGCTAATCATTGTGTTTCATTTTTAAAAAAAAAAAAACATACAGAAAGCTAGAGCAGTAAAGAAAGATTGCCATGGAGCACAGTATCTAATGGCCTATCGCTTTCTGTTCATCAATGTCTTTGCGCACATGAACACAGCAATTATTAGAGCAATATGCGTGCTACAGTGACTAGGATCCCAAGATCATGTTTATCAACTCTTTTCTCATTTTCTCCCTTCGTTGTCGCTTGCCCTTCTGCGCAGGTAAAGCAATTGATTTGAGGTTAACGAAGGACAATTATTACCAATATGTGCATCACGTGGTAGCTTTATATAGATTGATGGACTCTCCCACCCTCAGTACATAGAACGCCGTTCGTCATACGAGGCCAAGCAGAGAGTGCAATATTGTCATTTCAAGTCCTAACAAACATTTGTGGCTAATTAAGCTCTTGTTTTGCCTTGTTAAAGAATCTTACAGAGGAGAAAGTAAATTTATTTATTTTTTAAATGAAAGGAGAATGTAATATTGTTATTTCAAATTGATGGTGCATGTTTTTTTTTTTTATGCAAGCAAACACTCTTTATACAAGCTTCACACTGTAAATTATATTTAGTATTGTAGTAGTTTTTGTAGTTGTGGTTTAAAAAATATTATTTTATAAAAAGTATTTTTAGTTGAAGATGGTTTGATATTTATATATGTTTAGTTAAAATTATGATTAAAATTAAGGTTGAACAAAATAGTTTAATGTGTTTGATTAAGAATGCTTTTTAAATTGAGGTTATAATATATATATATATATATTAATGATTTTAAATTTAAATATTATAGATCTAACTAGTACTGTTACATCATGAAATAAAAAATATTTTATATAAAATATTTTTTATTATTTTATTAAACTATCTACAATTCAATCACGTATAAAATTCATCCGATAAGAACTACAGTTTTCATGATTTTTTGAGCGTGCAATAAAATTAGATAAAATATTATTAGAAATAGAATTGAAATTACAGTGCGAGTGAATTTAATTCACTCTACACTAGTTTTTTCAAGGAAAAAAAAATATTATTTATATGACCAATGTGAGTTAATTTAATTCACTCTAAACTAGTTTAAAAAAATAAATTCATTGCACTGGTTTCAAAAAAAATATTGTTCACTTAAAAGAATAAACAATGCAGAAGAAGAAAAGCAGCCGACTCTCTATTTAAACTAGCTCTAGCGTGCTTTATCTTGCCCTGCATTACAGACGCATATTTTAAGGGCCCTATGAACAGTAACATTATTTTTTTTATTACCAAACATGTTGCGCCTACGTTTTAAACAAAATGCAAATGTAACCTCCTAAACAAATACACTCTAAATAAGCGTCTTCTTTTTCTTCAATGGTTATTTTCTTCTAATAATCATCAATCTTTCCACTAATAAAGAGTTAGACACTATAAGAAATAGTAGGCATCAATATTTTCATTAATCAATTGTCATACAACTCATCATGTTCTAGGATGAGCTGACGTAATTTAGACCTACAAATATCTTAGGTCAAAGCATAAAAGTTCTAAAATTCATCATTTTTCATTATAAAATAATTCACTCTTACATATATTTTTTCTCTCATACATTTATTGACTTAAGCATGAGAGAATATCTTATTTTATGAGGGGCTTGTCTTTTCAGGTTAAACTTTTGTCAACCAATCAAGTCCAATAACTAGACCCAAATACAAAGCCTATATTACAAACACAAACCTAAGATCGTAGCTCGTGTAAAGTCTAATTTTAGTGTGAATTTTTGTCATGACTTTAACATAAGTCCTAACAAACATTTCTACGATCTCTTATTTTTCCTTGTTAGAGAATCTTATAGCAGAAAATACATGAATTTATCAAAGATACTTCAAATCATATAAAATATCCTATATTGAATAAATACAAGAATATAAATAATACAAAATAAAATAATAATGGATCACCCACTATAAGATATAAGTTTTTGAATAAAACTCAAACTCAACCATTAAATTCTATATGATATCAGCCTCAAATAGATATAATGATCCAGTAGAAATCTTAAAGCTGAAACCACTTGACATACTCTAAAATATATGCAAGTGATGGTGAGTGTTAGTGAACATATCTCATATAAAAGGTTGGGAATAAATCATCCGCTATAAAATCTTAATCTTTGAAATGAAACACAAACTCAAATATTAAATTCTATATCATTTATCATTCACTCATAGTAATGGGAATTTATTCTGGTTTTCTAATGTTTGACATTAAGTTTTGCCTTGATAATTAACAAAATAACTATCTTAGTTGCATGAAGTTAGAACACTTAGTCTTGTTTTGATTGGGTTGATCGATATTGAAAACTTTATACAATTTTCGATCAAATTCGCTAACTCTTTGTTCTAACAACCATACAATCATTTTTATCATTGCTAGGTGAACAATAAATTAGTTTGGAGTAGTTTATTGGTTTTCTAGATTATGTTTGTTTTGTAAATATGGTAATGGTAATGATAATAATGATGGCGATACATGTATGCTTTAAGCAAAATTTGAACTAAAAATTGATATCTCATGTACCTATTCATTAAATGTTAGGAGCACATTACTAGGTGGATTGTTACTACTTGGGCTTGGACAATAAGGTTGAATAGCATACTTATAAAAATTAATTTGGTTATCAATCAATATTTAAAATTTCTAGAATTTTTTTAACAATTTAAATTTGTAATTGAGATAGTTCTTTGATATAATATCATAGTATTAATTTCTTAAATATTATAAGTTTGAATCTTTTTATCCTTATTCTCTATAATTAAACTAAAAATTAAATACAAAATAGTTATGATCTTGTGTAAACTTCAGGTTTAAGGAAATCTCACTAAAAGAGATGTGTAAGAGAGTACAAATGAATTTAGAATGGGATGAGGAGGCTCACTCTATATTTTTATAAGTTTAAGTAAAAACCATGTGAAAATGGCCTTTGCAAGATGGAAAGATTAGAATTTAGGATCCTTTTATTTTACATAAAATATTTTCTCATAAAACATTTTACATGTAATACACTTTTTTAATATGTGGCTTAAGAAATGTTTTCCTGTAAAATTTTTTGTATGTAAAATACTTTTCAATGGGGGTGGTGATAGTGGATAGGGTGGCAATGAAGTGGTCATAGTGGTGGTGGAGAAGGAGATGTGGTGGTAATAAGATAAAGATGGTAGTTAAAATAATTAGATAATATTGTAAGTGAATTACTATTTAAAAAATATTTTTATATGATAAATGCTTTTCAATTATGGTGGTGGTGGTGAGGTGAGATAGTGGTGGTTATAGTGGTGAGATAGAGGTGTTGGTTAAAATAGTTGGATGATATTGTAATTCAATTACAATTCATAAAATATTTTGCATGTAAAATATTTTTCAATGGTAGTGGTAGATGAGGAGGTGGTTAGGTGGTCATTGTGGTGGTAAAATAAGAGGTGGTAGTAAAGGAAAAAGTGGTGGTGATAGTGGTTGAAATAATTTGATGTTATTATAAGTGAATTCCTATTCATGAAATATTTTACTTGTAAAATATTATTCAATGGTGGTGCAGGTGAGATGATAATATTAGTGAAAGAGGTTGTGGTGAAAGAGTAGATAGTGGTGGTGATGATGGTGAGATAGCAATGATGGTTGGAATAATTAGGTAATATTATAAGTAAATTACTATTCGTAAACTATTTCTAATGGTGGTGAGGAAGGAGATGGTGATGAGGTAATCATGATGATAATGAAGAAAAAAAAAAGGATAGTGGTAAAGGAGAAGGTGGTGATGGTGGTGGTGGGGGTGGTGATTGAAATAGTTGAATGATATTATAAATGAATTACTATTTGTAAAATATTTCTCAATAATGTTAGTGGATAAGAAGTTAGTGGTGGTTGTTGAAATAATGATATTTGGCTGGATAAAATGATATGTTTAGGGCATATGATATTTGTTGAAGGTATATTTGTAAATTTAAAAAAGATAAAGGTTGTATTATATGGGGAAAGGCCTATAATTATAACCAAAGTTCATAATTTTCTTATATTGATGAGGCATTACTGATGATTCATTGAAGGGTTCTCATAATAAAAATTATAATAATGCACTTAATTAGAAAAATGGTGAAATTTGAATAAATAAGAGAATGTGAAAATAGTTTTCAGGAGTTGAAAAAGTAGTCTAAGCCCAATACTAACCCTTTTAAATGGACCAAAAATATTTGTTGTATATAATAAGGCCTTTAAAAAAATGTTTTTGGTTTATAATAATGTAGCATGGAAAGGTGATTGTTTATGTTTTTAGAAAAATAAAGAAGTGTGAAGTAAATTTTTTGATATATAATTTGGAATTAACAAACATTATCTTTGGTTTAAAAAATATAAAGGCATTATTTATATGGGATTCAAAAACAAATCTTGATTGATCATAAAATTTTAAAGTACTTAATGTCATAAAAAAAAATTACATATGCATCAGTGAAGATATGTTGAATTTATGATTGTGTCATTGGCAATCATCCCGAAAAGGAAAATATAGTAGTATATGCCTTGAGCCATATAACAAAGGTTAGGGTTAGTTGTAACACCTTGTAAATCTAAATGTCGTAATAATGGTTTAAGCCTTTAACTCAATGAATAATATAGTAACATTTTTTTATTGATATTAAATTAACAAATCAATCATGCAATCATATTCATACATTATTCACTAATATCCTTAATTTACTAAAATCTTAATAGAGTCTACTTTAGATAGGGTCATTGAATAGTTCTTTTCTTTGCCCAAAATACTTATATGACAATTTATGGGAATCCAATTCTCATAACATAATAATTCATTTTTAATATCGGGTTTCAAGCCACTCAATTAGCTAATCATTATTTCTATCTAATAGATACATTTAATGTTTATTACACATGTAGACAATCACACACAGCCTTATATTAAAGACAATTATACAATTTAAAATTTAGACACATTTAAGTTCTACTTTCATTTCTAAATTATATCAATTACAACATGATTAATTAATTGTAATAATTATTTACTACATTTTCTTTGGGATAATAATCCACTACAATACCAGTCATCTTACAAGGTTGGACACCAACTAGAGAAAATGTATATAATGCCCCTACAACCATAGATCTATTATAAATTTTCAATTTGATAGCATAATAAAAATCACAATTCACATATGCATTTTACAAATACAATTAGGTAGTGAACATTTTCTTATTCCATGCATTATATATAAAATCGCATAAGCATCTCCATCCTATACTTCATTTTATTCCTTAATAAGCATTTTTTTTTCTATAAACCTTTTCCTCTGGTTTTTACCCTTTCCAAACTCCCAACCAAAATTCTCTTTTCTAAATTTGATGACAATCTTTTATCCAAAGCTTACCTCAAAAGCTTTCTTATTTGAATCTCATCTTTAAGTTTTACTTCTTGTGTCTTTCTATCTCATGATATTACCCCCCCCAATATATTAATAAAGAAAGATATTACCCAAAGCTTTCATTATAGATACTCTGAAGAACACAAACACCACAACGAGCACCTTGCTGCAAATTCCAAACTATAATGATCAATACTTTAACCTAACTATACATAATGATCATTTAATTCACACCTTAATTAGTCTTCC